ATCGGTCCCAATTCCAAGTCTACCTGACCCTGACTTGCACTACAGCCTTAGTCTCCTCTGCACTCCTGCCCCTGCCTGGGGCCAGACCTGCACGTGTCTCCTCCGTCTTTCTGGCCTCTGACCGGGCACTGCCACCTTGGCTTCTTATCATGCAGTTCTCACTGCCCTCTTGTGCTCTTGAGTTTCCCGTTCGCCCTGCCAGAGCCACAGGGACACTTCAGCAAACTGCTGCCACAGGAAAAGGAGTCCTGTCCCTTTCGATTGAGCCACGGTGCAAATCTCCCGAGTGGGCTCACGGCCCTTCACGTGAGGGTGTACACCAGAGAGGTGAAGAGCAAGGGGTTTGCAGACCACTCATCAGGGGCCCGCCTGGCCATGCGTGGTGACTGAGGGGAGGTGACAACTCTTAGAGCGGTAGGGTACTCACCTGTAAGATGGATATAATAACCAGCTGTATCTCAAAGGACTGTGGGGAGGGTTATGCTACCGATGAAGTCATTAGCATGTCAGGTCACAGCCAGTGCTCTGTTATGATCAGTTGCTGTCACCACCACCACTCACTACGGCCACGGTGTAGTGCTGAGGGCACAGGCCCTGGAGCTAGAACAGCCATGTTTGAGTAGTCCTCCTCCTCCTCCTCCACGTACACCTGTGTGGCCTTTCTGTGTCTCACTTATTTCTCCTGTAAAATGGGCCCCTGACAACTCTGTCTACCTCACAGGGACGGTGAGTCAGTCCACAGAACTACACCTAGAGCATGGTAAACACCAAATCATATTAGCCGTCATGGGTGTTATTACCGTTTCAAACACTATGATCTTGCAGGCTGCAGGCTGCATTGGAGTGGCATTTAGGGAGTGGCTTCTGCAAGGCTCCCCCTGGCGCTGTCAGTGGTGCCCGTGCCCGCTGAGTCACTGCCTGTGAACGTGGGGATAGACTGTTTTCCAAGGAGCGACATGCACTCCCAGTTCTGGCCAAACCGGGAGGTGCCACAGCCCACATCTGAGGCTGGCCCGCCCCTGGGCCGATCTGTTTTTCCAGCTCTGTTCTAAGGAAAAGCGGTGCCCACAGAAAGATCATGCTTCGTGCCAGATTAAATATTACAGACGTAGTCAATAAGGCAAGCTGCTGACCACGGGGGAAAATCCATTATCCTGAAATCTAGCTTTCATCCAAGGATCAAGGTGTTGCCACTAAGCCCTCTGGGGCACGTACGTGTTACTCACAGGCTGAGAGTCTAGGGTTCAAAGATGCCCCGGCAGTCCAGACACAGCCTTCTCAAAAGACTGCCGAGTTTTCTGGCAAAACCCAAATGCAACAGTGTGAGCTGGCAGCAAAGACCGACTCCCCGCTAGTCAGCACCGCCGCCCTGGTGGCCGCTCTGTGCAGTGCAGGGTCTGCTCCCGTGATGCTACGTGAAGCAGTGTTTCAAATGCTAGTAGCAATCTTTCTTCCAGGCTGTTGTCTGGCAGATCCATGGAAATAGGAGACAGAATGGGTTTCTCTAGTTCCCTGTTTCCATGCCCCTTGCACGCTGGTTAGGAAGAAGAGAGCCCATCAGAGCATCTTTAGACTGGACATACATGTGGATGTGCACAGCTGGTGGAGCTGTCAGCCACTAAAACATGTTTATAGGCCAAAATTATGCACCAGCATGTTTGAGACGAGAGAGAAACAATAGAAATAAAAAAGTATCAGCTAACCATTTAGAGGGTCAGATGTGTAGAGAACGATGTTAGCTATTTTATTTATTTATTATTTTTTTAAAATATATTTTATTGATTTTTCACAGAGAGGAAGGGAGAGTGATAGAGAGCTAGAAACGTCGATGAGAGAGAAACATCAACCAGCTGCCTCCTGCACGCCCCCTACTGGGAATGTGCCCGCAACCAATGTACATGCCCTTGAACGGAATCGAACCTGGGACCCTTCAGTCCACAGACCGGCGCTCTACCACTGAGCTGAACCGGTTTCGGCGATGTTAGCTATTTTAAATGCATTATCATTTAATTCTGACAAAAACCCTACAAGGGAAGTACAATTATTCACTAAATGCACTGGGTGAGGAGACGGAACCTAACAGACTCGCAGTGGCTTACTCCAGGCCACAGAGCTCACATGGTGAAGGCTGGACTTGGACCCAGAAGTGACTCCGTCACTGGTGCTCCAGACCCTTAATGAGCTGGGAATCTGAAAAACCAGCGCACCTGTGAGAAGGACCATCCTAGCTGCTCACCTCCCTTGTCTGTGCTGTCCACCAGGTTAGCTGCTCACTAGCCGTGGCTATCGAAATTTAAACTGATTAAAAAGAAACGAAATTTGAAATTTAGTTCATTGCTATGGAGCACTTAAACAGGGCCAGTGCAGCTGATGGCCTGAAATTATGATTTCATTTCATTTTCGTTAATCCAAATCTCAACAGTCACGTGTAGCCAGTGGCTACCGCGCTGAGCAGCGCGCCATGAGGACTTTTTCACGGCTGCATCAGACACGGCTCACGCTGCTTCCCAACTCTCAGGGACACAGGGCCGCGAGGTGCTTTGCCCAAGGAGCCAGAGAGAAGCACAGGGATAAAGCCCCTGCTTCTTAAGATCAGAGACTACATTTTCTTCAAATGCACCTGCCTGGCCTTTCCAACGCCCCCCAACTCCCAGATCTGATTGCCCGTAAGTTCCAGTGTGAGGACAAGAAAGTAAGAACAGGAAAGACTCAGGAACAAATGTCCTCAGACAGCAGGGAGCTGGTTAGATCGCAGGCTCCTGGGCCCCCCCTCTGCGGGCTCTGCTGCAGTGGGGCTGGGGCTGGAGTCCATGTTTGAGTCACAGCTGATGATTGTGATGCAGATGGTCTAGCTTGGAGGCCCTGCTCCGGAGGCTGAGCTACTTGTCTCCTGGTCTCTTAGACCATCAGAGCGCTTACATCTTCGGGGAGCAGCACTGACTGGGCTGGGCGCCAGGCAGTCATCGCTCCGCACTAATTGCTCACTTCTACGGCATTAGCGAGGTGCTTAGTCACCAAGGTCTCACTTTTCTCTCTGAAACATGGGGGTGAGGATGTGTGCTGTTTGTCCTCCAGGACGAGGGAGAACACAGGTGTGGAAGCATTCGAGGGGACGGCAGCTAAAAACGCATCCTGCAACTCAAGAGACATGTTCTGCCTGTTAGCTGAGAGTTTACATAGATTTCACATTTTTAAAAAAAAATGTAAATTTTTAAAGCTGTCTCCATAAGAAGAGAGCACTCATTCTCTTAGATTTTTTTTTCCTTTTTCTTTCATTAACCCTCACCCCAAGGAAATGTTTTTATTGGTTTTAGAGAGAGAGAAAGGGAAGAAGAGAAAGAGAGAGAGAGAAACATCTATGTGAGAGAGAAATATGGATTGGCTGCCTCCCGCACTCACCCTGATGTGGGATCGAACCCACAACCCAGGGATGTGCCCCGACTGGGAATCGAACTCACACCCCCTGGTGCATGGGATGATGTTCCAACCGACAGAGCCCACCGGCTGGGGCGAATGCACAGCTCTGACTTGTCTGAAGCAACTGGGAGATCTGACAGCTTGGGCTCATGTTAGGTGGCAGCCTGGTGGTTAGGGGGCCACCTGGGGTCACGTGCACAGGTTCAAGCCTGCCTCCACCTTTGAAAAGCTGGGTCAAGTCCCTGAGCTCTCTGTGCCTCAGTTTCTTCAACTCTGAAAAGAGAATTCAATAGTCTTCCTCCTTCATGGGGTGTGATAACTTAACCGAGTGAATGAATATTAATGAAGAGCTCAGAACAAGGTTTGGCCCATGGCAAGAGCTGTGCCACTAGCCACGTGCGTAAATAACTGCATGTGGCAACCCGCAGCGGAGCCCTTCTGTGCCCGTGTATTGGTCTCCACCCAGGCTCACTGGGCCAGGGGACCCGCTATACCCGGCAGATGTGTCTCCCGCCTCGGGGCCAGGCACCAGGAGCAGATACACTCAGTGTATCGCAGAGCGGTACTTCTTAAACAACGCGTGGTGACGGACCAGCTTAGCTTGAATGCACTGTGGACGGACGGGTGCCTTCCTGAACAGGACAGACACACAGCCACGCCACATGCAACTCATGCAACACACCATGGGTCCTACCACACCCTCGCTGGTGTGTAGCTTGGCCAGTAAATGAGCACAACAAGCATGCGCGTGGGTGTTGTCAAATTGCTCTACGCGTCCCTAACCATTGTCCTTTCAGTCCTGATTTCGCTGGGCACTGCGGCTGGCCCTGGTCCTCGGGCCCTTGGAGCATTGCCAGCCTAGGGAGCATCTCCACGTCTCCACACGCACAGGAACCAGCCAGACGACGTGACCGGAGAGGGTGGGCACCGGGTTCCCTCTCTCTACATCCTCTCCACTCTGCCCTGCCAGCTCTGTCCACGCCTCTTTTGCTGCTATTGGCACATTAAAACCGGCTCCCTAGTGAGATCCCGGGCTCAGAACACCACGTTGTGGGACGTATTGGTGCCCCAGGCAGCACCCGGCTTTGTGAGCCCGGCCTCCAGCTCACAGCTGTCCCTTCTCCTGGATGTTGCCTTTGACCTGCAGGAGCTGCCTTGCCCATGCCACACTCACAGCCTGGTGTCCCAGTCACTGGCCAGCAGCCCAAACCCAATGACAGACTGACACGGTGGTGCCAACGCCAGCCCCTCTGATATAAGAGGGAACCAACTGTGTGGCACCCTCCCCAGAGCCCTGTGGGTCGGGCTGAAGCTGGTTCCTGGCCCAACAGCACCCTTCACTTGGCTCCTCCCCCTCCCTGTCCTGTGTCCCCCTCCTTGGAAGCACCCTCCGCAGGTCACAGGCACCCAGATGTCTGCCTCAGCTCTGCTCCTTGGGAACCCATCACCTGAGACGTGGGTGCATCTTCCCCAGTGACCTGCTGGAGGGGGCACACGGCGGGACAGCATGGTCACCCCGAGGACCAGCATCAGCCACCCCGAGGTCACCCAGGCCGTGTGCCCACCCGGGGAACAGAACCTACCTGTGGCGTTAGACAGTGCCAGGGATTCCATGGAGCCCCGAGGGGTCTGCTCCGTGGGCGTCATGTCCTCGGTGTACTTCAGGGAGCTGAGTGGACGGCGGGTCCGGCACTGCTGGGCGGGCATGCCCCCTTCCTCCTCCTCCTCCTCCTCGTACTTGGGGACCTGGATGCTGCCCCGGGCTTCCCCGAAGCTCTGGCTGGACATGTCACTGTAGCTCTCCTGGGAGCGCAGCCGCCCTGGGTAGTAGTCCTCCCGGCACTCCTGGATGAAGCTGCCACCGTGGCCCTTCAGCGCCATGGACGAGCTCCGCTTGGGGTTGCCGAAGTGCGGGGCCCACAGGTCGGGTGCGGCGCCCGCCTGGGCCGCGGGGCTGTAGGAGGTCCTGATGTTGCACTGGCTGAGCAGCTGCAGCGGGCTGGGCGGCTGGCTCTGCTCCAGCTGGTTCCCGTAGTGGAAGGGCTCGTCCCGGCTCCTCCAGATGGGGTCCCGGTTCAGGCTGGGCGTCTGGCCGGCCAGGCTGAGCAGGTCCATCTGCAGCGACAGGGGGTCCACGTCGGCGGACAGCCGGTTGGCGCTCACCTGCAGCTGGCCGTGCGGGCTCAGCACCGGCTCCTCCGTCTTGCCCTTGTTCTTGCCGATCTTGGCGCTGCGCCGGGACTCCTTGGCCCTGGCGTTCTGGAAGGCCGAGTCGGAGGAGTCTGAGCCGTTGGGGTCCTCCCCGGCGCTGCAGGCCCGCGAGCAGAATATCTGGCCCTGCTTGGGGAGGAAGGGCCGCCCCAGGAGGGACTTCTTGCAGTGAGCGCAGCAGAAGCAGGTCTCGGTGGCGTGCCAGTGCTGGCCGTCGTAGGTCATCTGGCCCTGGTCGATCCCTGAGGAGAGGAGACACGGGGGAGGCTGAGGAGCGGCTCAGACTAGTCCCTGCACTGTGAGATATCCGCATGCCAGAGGGGCCGGGCCGCCACCTGTGGCAGGAGCCCATGTGACTAAACCCGCAGTTCAACCCCCCGTCAATGGTGCTCATGTCCTATTACCCCTCCCCCCCCCCCCCCCCCCGCCTCCTTCTCGTTCCAGGCAGCTCATTTGCGCTGAGCAGAGAAACTAGGTCAGAATGGCCCGCCATGAATCCTGCCTGGCACACACGCATCATGATACCAACAAGGACAAACGCTTTGCATGTATGTAAACTCATTCAACCCCTCCACAGGCTCAGGTGAGAAAAAAATGGAAAGAAATGAAAACATCATTTCCATTTTTTTTTTTTTTCAGGTGAGAAAACAGGCGCCGGAGGCCAGATAACCAGCCGGGTGTAAGACAGCGGGGAGTCACCGACGGGATCGACCCAGGAAGCCTTGCCCTTACCACGACAGGGGCACCGCCTCCTTCACTCCCCTCAGGGGTCAGCGCAAAGGCCAGCTCCTTGGGGACGTCGTCCTGTCCGCCCCCCTGACACCTCTCCACCCTTCCCCACCCACACCTGCTGCACTTCTCTTTATGCAGCGGTTCTCCACCTTCCTAATGCCGCGGCCCTTTAATACAGCGCCTCATGTTGTGGTGACTCCCAACCATAAAACTATTTTCGTTGCTACTTCATTACTGTAATGTTGCTACCGTTAATGAATCATAAGGTAAATATCTGTGTTTTCCCATGGTCTTAGGCGAACCTGCTAGTGGTTCTCAACCTGTGGCCTTCTCCTGGTTATAGGACTTAATCTCTCCAGAGGCCCCATCTCCCTGGGGCCAGGAGCTTTGAGCAAAGCTAAAGCTACACCCGGTCCCAGCACTGGCCAGGACAATAACATGTCTCCCAGCCTAGGGGCTGATTTGGGCTGGGGAGGTGATCTGCACCGGCCCAGAGGAGTCCTGCAGTAAGCCAGTGACGGCAGAACGAAAGCCAGGGCTGTGGCCGCAGTAAGCCAGTGACGGCAGAACGAAAGCCGGGGCTGCGGGGCCGTCCTGTGGGGAGCCTGCTGAGAACGCAGCCCCCCAATCGCGTGGGAAGGAAGGGGACCTCTGGGTCTGACGGGCGTCTTTCCGAAAGGCAGGACTAACGTGATCCTTCCCCTGTGGCGACTGAGAACAGGAAGCCTTTCCAGGAATAACTTCCAGAGAATCGTCCAGAGAGGCGGCGAACGAAAGTGGAAGGAAAGAGAAGGCCAGCATGGGCCGCTCTCCTGCCCTGTCTGTGCCCTCACTTTCCGACCCGGGCCCAGGAGAGCGGGGCATAAGGCACAGGCTTCTCTGCCTGGCTCCTCCCCAAGCCAAAGGTCTTGTTTCTTTAGGAATCAGCCCTGGGAACCCGAGGGCACTGTTAGAGGGACGGGAGCAGGCACAAGGGCCACCCCAAGGGGCGTGGGGCATCGGACCAACTGGCTTCCATTCAGCACCGAGTTCCCCGCAGTGAGAACTGGCTGAGCAGACGCAGGGGCGGGCAGCACCCTGGCAGCTGAGCGAGACTCTGCCATTCCAGCTGGCCGTAAAGATGCCGAGGTCCACCAGCTTGGGTTCAAATCCGGATTCTGCTGCTGTCTGGCTGTGTGACTCTGGGCCAGTGGTCGGCAGACCGCGGCTTGTGAGCCACATGCGGCTCTTTGGCCCCTTGCATGTGGCTCGGCGTTAGAACCACTTCTTCAGAATAGACTCGCCCAGGCTGAAAGCTGACTGCTGTGTCTGGGCCACGAAGTTTCAATCGCCCTGCATGTGCACGCCTGCCTGTGGTATTGTGTGGAAGAGCCACACTCAAGGGGCCAAAGAGCCGCAGTTTGCAGACTCCTGCTCTAGGCAATGGCTCCATCTCTCCGTGCCTCCATGTCTCCCCAATGGAGCAGAATAACTGTGGCACTTACTTCATGGCTGCTGTGGGGATTGGCTGAGTTAATATGCAGAGAATGCTTAGGCCCTTGCTGGTAACTATTCTCACTGCTCATCTTGCGTTTTTTTAGGTCTTAATGCCTGTCTCCCTCTTGGCTCTGGAGGCTGCTGCCTGGATGCAGGCCAGGGGAGAACTCAGGCTGACCTGGTCTCCCCACGCTTCTCTCTCTCCTCTCCTCCGGGGCCCAAGCTGCCCTCCTGGCTGCTCTGGGCCCTCACTGTGGGCTCCCGCTCAGCACAGGTCCCCGCAGCTACAGCCCTTCTCCCATCTGTCCATCCGTCACAGGCACACAGGGAGGCCAGCTCCTGCAGCCTGTCCTCCACCCTCTTCCCCATGCATACTCCTCCGTGCTTCTGCAGGAAACAAGCTCAGATAGGCGGCAGGGGCCTCCTCCTGGGGTGGGGGCCTCGCAGAGGGCTGGGTCTCTGTGGGGAGGGCCGGGGAGGCGTGTTACGAAGTGGCCTGGCTGGCAGCGGAACATGGTTCCTGATAAACATCAGCGACAGTCACACGGCACCCTGAACTGCCCCTGAACTCTCAACATCTGGAAAGGGCTCTGCTGGCCCGCATCTAAGTGCTCTTTTTTCCCTCCCCGCTAAACCCCTTAAGTACTTCTCTGAGGGCGATGTGTCTGCTGCCGCTCCAGCCGCCGTCTGTTTATAGGACTGTTTGCTGTGCGCGGGCAAGAGTACCGTTGCCCTAGCAACGGCTGCCTGATGCAGGGTCTGTGCGGAGCAGCTATATAAATATGGAATATTTGCAGAATGTGGTCAGAGCAAAGCACCAGAGACTGCGGTGTGCACGGTACACGGAGCACACCTCTCCCTGCTGCAGGAAATTACGTTTTACAGGAAAATGGACCTAGGACAAAAAAAACCCCAGGGGCAGCATTTTAATGCAGCAGTGACAATGTTGCAGGCCACAGAGTTCTTCTCTGTAAAACATGCACGCCTTTGTATGGATTTAAGAGGAAAGAAGAGGGAACGCCAGTCACCATTCTCCAACAGCTAGGAGAAGCGAAGAGAGAAGGCCGTGGCCTCCTGAGGGGCAGCGGCTGTGGGCGCGGTCAGATCTCCTCTCTTCCAGCCACTAAGCACGATCCGCATGCCAGTGTCTGGAGCGGCTCTGACGCCTCCCAGGAAAGGGACAGAAGATGCAGAAACACTGAGGCTAAGGGGCATTGCTGCCATGGGCATGTCTTCTGTTCACTCAGCCCCTGTCACCTGAGCAAGCACCTACTTGCAGACTCCGAACCCACAGCGAGAAGGTGGGGCAGGGAGGTGCTCCATCTCCCCAACAGCGTCCCACCTCGCCCTTCTCACGGCCCAGGCACTTGTCCGAACCAGGGTCCCCGTTCCCTAACGCATACCCTGCAAGGAAGCTTATCTCTGACTGCTCTGACCTTGTGAGTGAAGGCTGTGGGATTCTTGGTTGGCAGCAGGCCGTGGAGAGGGAGGTGTTTCGGGCTGGGGCGGGAACCTGGGTCCCTCAGGCCCCAGGAGGGATGCTGCTGGGCAGAGGTAAGCAGAACGATGCCCAATCCTGGGCCTGGCAGAGCCGCCAGCCTGGGAGAGCCTCCCAGAAGCAGGTCGTGTGGGATGGACACCCGACAACAAAGGCCTGAGCTCATGCAGGTGCCGTGTCCACAAAGCTATGATTTTCATCCACACACGAAACCCTCCAAATGACTAGCTGATTTTACATTTGAATGCATCACATCTGATGAACCAGGGCAAGCATGTCAAACTCACGGCCCACAGGCAGCATGCCTCGTTTATTTGGCCTGTGTTAGCCTTTGAGTTTGACATGCTTGCACTAGGGAGACAAAGCCACTCCTCCTTGTTCCTGATAAAATCTCTGACTTCCTCCCCACCTACCCACTGCAGGTGAGACACAGGCACCTTCTGCGCACAAATCACAGCCTCCATCCCTGGCAGCTTTTCTTTCTTTTTAAAGGGCAGCTCCTTCTCAAGGTGCCAGAACAGGCAAGTTGAGTGGAGAAGCACAGATGATCCAGAACAGCGTTGGAGGGCGAACAAATTGGTTAGTTTTGCGAAGGGAAAACGTTAGGCGCCATCTTAGAACTGCCACCTATTTGGAGAGTCTATAGCTTATGGGCTAGTTGAGGTTTCCTTGCTTTGTATTTGGCTGGGTCAGCCTTTTTTTTTTAGACATGCTTGCCAGAAACCATTTGACAATTTGGTTTTCTTGACTATCCTACCGAGAAAGCTGCTTTGGTTCCTCCCTCTGTTAACTCGAGTTTTCCAGGGAGGCAGTGGAAGACGTCTGTTTATAGTTTATTTCTGAGATCCCCCCGTGGTAGTGGGCTGTACATCACATAGCCCCGCCCAGAGGTGGGCCTATGACTCAAGCAGACCAATAGGAATCTAGGAATTCCTTATTCTCTTGTTTCCAGAGCAGAACACATGACCAGACCATGGCCTATGGGGCTCCTATACAGAGACCTGACTTGGATGCTGGGAGAGCACAGCCCCACTCCTCTACAGGATACAATTGCTAAATGCATATAATTGGAGGGTCGTCTTGGCCGCCATGAGAAGGCAGCTTGTTCCCGAATGATACCAACAGGAGGCAAGCTGAGGAGAGACAAGGAGGAACAAAGAGAGTTTGTTTAAATCCTTGATCCATCTCTACCTGATGCCAACATACTCCTTGGCCTTTCTAGTAATGTCAGCCAAGACAGTCCCTTCATTCACTTATGCTAGCATGAGTTGGGTTTCTACCATTTGCATCCAAAGGGATTCTAAGGACACCAGACACAGTGAAGGTCCAGTCCCAGGAGGACCGGGCTGAGCCCCATGCGTGGCCTCACCTATGTGTTGGGCGCAGGTGTCGCAGTATTCTGCATACAAGGACTCGAAGCAGTGGCAACAGTAGGGCCTTCCTTCCTTCATGATGTAGCGCTGGCCGCCCAGCACGGTCTCGCACTCGAAGCAGCAAAAGTGTTTCATGTGCCAGTGCCGCCCCTCGGCTTCGGTGCACTCGTCGGCAAAGATGATCTGGAGATGAGGGAGCCAGATGGTTAGGACCCAGCCCAGAGGATGCACCTTAAATGAGCACAGGGAGGGGCCCATACTAAAAGGGCCCTCTCAACAAATTGTCAAACAGAAGTGGATGAGAACATGCTCATACTAGATCTAATCAGCTCCCACATTTGGATTTGCCTGAAGTACAACTGAACATGGTTTCCAGTCTGGCCTTGTAATTAGTTTTAACCACATTTTAATAAGAGAAAGAATGTTCTAAATATGAGTAACATAGAGCAGGACCAAAAACAGACAGCTCCTGGGCACTTTGAACATACGTGTCTGTTTTACCTGGCCTATGCACAGTATTTTTAAAAAGTGGGGAATGCCATACAAACACCTGGAATCATGGTTTATCTCTTGAGTATATCATATGTGGCAACATGCAGTGTACGTCCCCGTGTGTACGAGCAGCTGGGGCGGGAATACGGGCTGCTGCCTTAACATGAGCCCCCTTCCTGTGCAGTATCTGTGCCCTCAGAGCATTTGTGTTTTGACCTTTAATGTAGAGTTCTTAAAAATCTAAAGCATAGATTTAAAAGCTTCCTGCAAATTGCAGTAATCAAGACAGTGGGTGCTGGTATAAGAATAGACATGTAGCTCAAGAGAATGGAATTAGAAGCACAGAAATAAACCCAAACAAATTGGCCACTTGATTATCAACAAGGGAGCCAAAGACATTCAATGGGGGAAGAACAGTCTCTTCAACAAATGGGGCTGGGACAAGTGGAGAGCCACAGGCAAAAGAATGAATCAGAACCCCTATCTCACCCTGTCCACTACAGGAACTCAAAGGGATTAAAGACCCAAAGAGCCAAAAACTATAAAATACCCAGAAGAAAACAGGTATAAATTTTCATGACCTTATATTAGGCCAGAGGTTAGCAAACTGCGGCTCGAGAGCCACATGTGGCTCTTTGGCCGCTTGAGTGTGGCTCTTCCACAAAATACCATGTGCGAGTGCGCATGTACAGTGCGATTGAAACTTCGTGGCCCATGTGCAGAAGTCAGTTTTCAGCTCCCAAAAGAAATTTCAATCGTTGTACTGTTGGTATTTGGCTCTGTTGACTAATGAGTTTGCTGACCACTGCATTAGGCAATGGTTTCTTAGGTATGATATACTAAAAACATAAGTAACAAAAGAAAAATATATAAATTGGACCTTATCCAAGTTAAATAGTTTTATGTTTCCAAGGACATCATCAAGAAAATGGAAATATAACCACAAAATGAGAGAAAATACTTGCAAATCATGTATCTGATAAGAAACTAGTATCGGCAATATTTAGTTACAATCCCACAGTGAACAGAAAAATCACATAAGTAAAAAAAATGGGCCAAGGATTTGAATAGACATTTCTTAAAAAACGAAAAATACACAAATGGCCAATAAACACATGAGAAGATGCTCAACATTATTAGCTGTTAAGGATATGCCAGCCACAACCACTTTACAGCCACTAAGATGACTATAATAAAAAAGATAAGCAATGAATGTTGAGAATGTGGAGAAACTGGAATCCTCATTTATTGTTAGTGGGAATGTAAAATGGTGTAGCTGTTCTGGAAGAAAATTTGGATTCCCTCAGAAAATTAAACAGAATTTTCATATGACCCAGCATCCATTCCTAGAGAACTAGAAATATGTGTCCACACAAAAACTCGTACATGAATGTTCCGAGCAGCATCGTTCATAATTGTCAAAAAGTGGGAACAACTTAAATGTCCATCAGTTGAAAAATGGCTAAACAAAATGTGACATATGCATACTACTGAATATCATTCAGCCATGGAAAAGAATACAGAACCGATATAGGTTATAGCCTGTATTAGCCTTGAACACAGCAGGCTAAGTGACAGGAGCCAGAGACAAAAGGTCACACATTGTCTGACTCCATTTATATAAAATGTCTAGAATATGTAAACCCATAGAGACAGAGACGTGATTAGTGGTTTCCAGGGGCTGGGCGAGGGGGAAAGGGAAGTTTGTACTAATAAAGTTCCTTTCGAGGTGGGATGCAAATGATTTGGGACTGGGTATTAGTGATGGTTGCACAACTCTGTGACGATATTAAAATCATTGAATGCACACACTTTAAAGGGTGAAACTTACGCTCTGCAAGTTACATCTCAATAAACAAAAATTTCAAAGCTCTTAAAGCATCATATTCTTTTTGCCATTAAGTGACATAATGTATTAGGAGCACTCATTTCCAGATGTGGAAACTGAGGCATGAAGGTAAGGCGGCTGCCTAGAATCACCAAACTGGACCTGAACTCAGTTTCCCAACCACTTGCCTAGTGGGTCTCAGAGCATCACCATTAGCATTAGCATCCAATTAGTTAAGACAGATAAAACTCTCTCTTAGAAGAGTGAATCGCTCCTGGACAATTTATGTGGAAGAAACGCCCAGGAGGAGTGAACTCTGGCTACAAAAGGGAGTATTGTTCATAAGTTCCACATTTCTGTGTACAGGCTGGAGAGAATCAAAAATTCACTCTGCAGGAGGAAACCGCTGTCCAAGACCTTTCCCCTGGTGAACCCCATACTAGAGGTCAGCTTTAACACGTTCTCCTTTCTGCTCCAAACGCTTAAAATGTTTGTATGGAGCCTGTATGCTCCAAACCTTTAAAGCTAAACCAGGTGTTCTAGTCTCCCGGGTCACAGAAAGCACCAGGCCTGGCTTGGGCTGCTGTCTGCTGTCTTACTCCGGGAAGCAAATTCAAGTTCTTAGAATGCGGGACAGAGGTATCCAGAGGGAATATCCATCTGCCTCCTGAATCCTCATCAGAACTTTTATAAGTTGTGGGAAAATTAAATAATGCCTCCAGCTTTCTTCTCAAACCAACCTTTCCCTCTGAAGCTCAGAAAAATAGAGCTTTTAAAGATATAAAGGGCACATCATTACTGACTAGAGGCCCAATGCACAAAATTCATGCAAGAGTAGGCCTTCCTTCCTGCAGCTGCCAGCACCAGCTTCCCTCTGGCACCCGGGACCTGGGCTTCCCTCCAGCCGCCAGCAGGCACCCGGGACATAGGCTTCCCTTCCAGCCTCGGCTTCGACCAGAAGGTCACCCGGAAGGACAGCCGGTCTAATTAGCATATTACCCTTTTGTTATTAGAGATGATGACTCCCTGGGATTTGGGCTGAAACCTAAAGCTGTATGATACCATGGTTCCTTTCGTTAACATTCTGAATGGACCCAATGCCAGGAGTCACCTCAGCTACAGAAACCAGCTGCCTTCCCACCTGGTCCATGAGGCTGTGCATTCAGTGATGCAGGCCATGTCCCCGACAGCCAGCCACCCAGGACGGGGACTTCTCTCGGGAAAGCTTTAATACAGGAAGGTGGGGGAGGGGCTGGGGTCACAGCCCCCCTGTGTGGGTCATGCCATGGCGGCTGCGGGCAGGGCTGCCGGCCTGGGAGCGCACTGACCTCGTCGCAGGCGGCGCAGCGCGGCTTCAGGCACTCGGCATGGTGCCGGCCGCAGTAGATCTTGCCGTCCTGGTAGAAGTAGATCAGGTCCACCAGCAGCTCGCTGCAGACGGTGCAGATGAAGCAGGGCGGGTGCCAGCAAACCCCGTGGCCGGCACGCGACGCGAACACGGCGATGTCCCCGCCGTTAATCTGGCCCCCGCACTGCGAGGCGAAGGGAAACGTGAGTGTGAACGGGGGATCCACCTCTCTCACATTGCACAGGTGACAAACCACCACCACCTCCACCAGTCTCCACCATGGGGCACTTACGTTCCGACGAGGCCCTGTGCTGCCTGCTCTACATACGTGTGCCTCCCCCTCTCCCTGTCCAGGGCCACCATGTAAGATGAAGATTAATTAAGTAACAGAAAACCAGGACTCACAAAGGTGGGAAAGAAGAAAACTCTGCAGCAGGAGGCACATTACACAAACTCCATCAGAGGCAGACAAGGTTAAGATGAGGAGGAGGAGGAGGCTGTGGGGGCTGAGGCGGGAGTGGGCTGTAAGATGGTAAGGGGAGTGGGTTCATTCGAATGTGCCCGCCTTTAACTATTTCCCAGTCTTTCAGGCCTGCCGTTAGCCTGCTTCCGCCAGCATTTTTTACATAACCCTGACGGGAAAGGCACTGCCTCTAAGACCAGCCTCTGGAAAGGGCCTCTTCCCTGTCCCTCCCTTATCTTCCCACTCGAGTTCCCAAGCTCCTTCCCATCCAGAAAGGGGCAAGGCAGAGGCCCCGGTGGCCCTGCGTAAGGCTGGGGTTGGGGTAAAACAAATACGGTCTGAGGGCCTTTGAGGGAGGAATCAGTGGGTCTGGGGCAGGCTCCCGGTTCACCAGGGTGTTGGCATGAGGGTCACAGCCTGAGGACCCAGTACCAGGCCCCACATGAAGGACAGAGCTCCAGGGACAATGTCTATGGAGTAGAAACGCTACCTCTGAACCCTCCCTACATCATGGGCCTCCGGTGGGTTGAACTGCTTTCTAGAAAAAGGAGTAGAGAGCTCATGGAACTGGCTCTGGGAGCCCGATCATGTGATCAGATAAGGGAAAGACTACGCTACTCAAAGCACTAACCCTTCCTCTTATAACATAGGTAGAACTGGGGTAGCATACTGTTAACAGGTAAACCGAGGCACATTCAACATTTTAGGAGTTTACTTGAGCAAATATTGAATCGAGTTGGGCAGCACCAACTGAAGGAATGCCCCTCGGATGGGAGCTCAGGGGCAGGTTCTTACAGAAAAGAGGCGGAAGCAGAGAAAGCAGTGGTTTGAGGGGCTGTGACTTAAGCAGTCGCCTTATTTGGGAAAGCCTGATTCGAATTTGTGATTGATTGTTCGTAAGTTTTGTTTTCTTGGATTCTAGTGCATTGATTCTGGCTTAGGTTTTGATTTGCTACTGTACAAAGCAGTAGAGCCACCTCAGTGTAATGGCCTCTTTGTTTAATTACTTTAACGAGACAGAATCTCATTTAATCGCAACATCTTTCTATGACATAGACACTTGCTGTCCCCATTTCCCACCCTGCAAATGTCACTGACCCTGGGAACGAGGCTGACCCAGGTCCAGCAAACTCCACTTTCTAAAGGACTCGTTTAAAATATAAATCCATCATATGTCAACCCCTGGCCTAACTCTTTCCAATGGACACTTAACCCCCAGGCCCTGGCCTCTGTCAGTTCTCCTCCTTCATGCCCTCTGCCCTGCCACACAGGCCACTTGGCGAATCTGACTGAAATGTCCTGCCTCAGGGCCTGTGAGCCCTCTGCCCCCTCTACCCACTCTGCCCCTCCCCAAGGCTTACGTGCTTCCCTCTCTCAGCTCTTGCTTGTCTTTGCTCAGAAGCCACCTACTAAGGGGGGCGCCTTCCAGGCCACTTTATGAAAACTGCAACCCACCCCCACACCCAGAACTTCCTGACCCCTTCCCTGCCGTATTATTTTCTATGTTGCTTATCTATGTTACTGTCTGGCTTTCCCCGCTAGAATCTAACTCCTAACAAGGGCGAGATCAAGCTTTTAAACGTTTGTTCACTGTTGTATCCCTGTGCCCAGCACAGTGCCTGGCCCCAGCAGGCACTCAGAAAGTGAGTGAAGGGCAAGGCCGAAGGCAGGCCAGCCCAGCAGTCCCGCCTCCACGCTCACCTGTTCACAAATGGCTCCCGTCATGGTGACCGGGAAGGGCCTGACATTCCCTCGGCCCAAGTTCTCGCGCTTCCTCTGGTTGCTGAAGAGCTTCAGCTCCCGCTTCTCCTCCTCGTCCAGGGAGTTGCAGTATCGGACCTGAAAGGACACAGAGGTGGCACAGAAGAGTCACTCTTCGCTCTTCCCCTTAGAATTCCCGAAGCTCAGGCCTCAGTTTTCTCAGCAAACGTGCCCCTATTTGGCCTAGACTTGAACCCCGCCAGGCTTGGGGACATTTGAAATGAGTCTCTGACTAAAGACACCCAAGACATCCTGAGAGCCCAAGGCTCAGACAGGATGAAGGTCTGTAGCTATTCCTCATCCTCACTGCCTCACTCTGCTCCCCACACGGAGACTCCAATCCCAGATCTGGGCTTTTCTTCTTCTTCCCAATGGGTTTGCATCTTCACACTGATTGCGGGGTCCTGATGCTTTCATGGCCGGGTGCACCAATGACGGCTCCAGGCCAGCGAGCCAGAACCGTTGTCGGTGGGCTCACAGCTCCTCTTCTGTCACCTTGTTGCTGGAAAAATGGGGAACCAAAGGCTTGAGACTGAAGAGTTGGCTCAAAAGCATCTGTGTTGCTTCATGGGAGTCCCTGCCTGCTTCTCTGTGAGGAGGAGGAAAAAACCGCCTGCTGGGCTCTGGTTAATGCATGGACTTGCACTGAGCTATGATCCTTCTTGTCAGACACAGACCCACAAGTAAGGGAGGGACATCATGGACATTCCATCCAGTACTTCCATCTCTTCCCTTAGGTCTGCACACCTTGGGAATTTTGTCAGAATCTTGAAGTACCACCTACTTAATGGTGCTGCTGTGATTAATAATAGGACAACAGGAGAGGAGCAAAGGAAAGGCTAAGTTTTATTTTTTATTTTTATTTTTTTGCAAGGCTAAGTATCATAGGCATGTCATTGGGGCAGTTTCGCCAGAAGGTAAAACTTTGCACTCCCCAAAGTTTTACCTTCTGGTCCAGCTAAAGGGTGAGAGACAAAGGCTCAGTAAAGTTGGGGGGTGATGACCGAAGGTACTTTCCTGTTAGGCACACCTGGGAGCAGGTCCCTGACCAGGGTAGGCATGGCCACCACAAAGACAGGAAATTTGGGATTTTTGGTGCCCTGAAGGAAGGAGTTCGCTCTCTTAATTCCCCTTGGCTCTCTGGTTTTCTCCTGGCTCTTGGTGTGTTTTGGTTGACTCCTGGCTTGTGGAGCTCCCCTGCATTCCCCTACATGGCCTATGGCCAACCCCATGCACAATGGACTCATGGACTGCAGCCAGCCCGATGCTGACGTGGCCCCGGCTCCAACATGGAAGGAAACCTAGACCCTGGCTCTGGTTTTAGCTCCACTGAAGCCCCACCACACTTCTAGGACTGGACGGAGGGAAATGGGAGTTTGGAAACCCAGGAATGTAATTCCATGCAAATAAAAATCACTCATTCTCCCGTGCGAGTCTCAGAAGATTCCTTTTCTCGAGATGTAAGGACACCACCCCCAGCACTCAGTGAGGAAAGAGATACCCACTTCCACTGGTAACACTTATGTACTGTTTTAACACTGACTCACTTTTAAAAACTTGAATAGATTATTTGAAAAGAAAGTATATTATGATTATAAATGGCAGATCTGTATTGCCTGTAAAAAATCAGAGGGCGACCATAAGCTAAAGAGAGAAGGAAACCACATGGCTAGATTCTATCTGGATGCTTTGGCTTGGGGGAGATCCTCAAATGCAGATTGTTAATGCGGCAGCTTCCAAGCGGACACCAGGAGGATGGGCAGAGGCGCTACAGCTGCTGGCTCCCCCTAAATGCCTCCCTTTGTCATTCACGCGGAAGGACATACAACTTACAAGGAAGTGCTCTCTCATTACATACTGAGAGCTTACTGCCTTGCTCATGTCCCACCTAAAGTCCCGTGTCTATCACACTTCGGTAAACGTTGTCCTAACCCCACCGCCTGCCTGCCTTTAGAATAATCTGAGCATCAGAAGGTTGACTGAAATGCTCAGATGACTACCAGCCAGATGGCAACAGGGGGCCCTTGAACTAGACTGGTGCATCCTCATTTGAAAACCAGGGCGGCTGCAGATATAAAAACTGTCTTCTTTGAGTGAAAAAAAGAAGGATCAAATATTCACTTTAGGGTCACCCTTTGTTCTCCACGGGCCGAGTCTAGATGGGTGAAATTGCCTCCTGGGCCCCATGGAAGGAATTCTCACCAGCAGGAAGGAGGAATTTTAAAGGTCTCTTTTCATGAAACCACAGTTAACCTTTAACAGAAGAAACCATTAAAAGCAGCACAGGGAGGGTCAGGTCCCTCTGCCACATAAAAAGTGAACAGAAAGAGAAATGTCTTCCTGTGGATGTTTCTCCCCGGAGAGAACCCGGGCCCCCAGCAGCCCAGACTACAGGGTTACACCCCTGACACTCCATGGACAAGCTTTTAAGGAAGGCACACCCCTCCTGCTTGTAAAAACCCGCATTTTCACTTCCAAACTAGTTAACCGGGCATCAGGTTACAAGGTTTGCTCTCAGCTTTAAAGAGAAAGCATTATTTATACTTTTTTTTTTTTTTTTTTTTTTTTTTTTTTTTTTTTTTTATGAAGTCTGAAATAACAGGAAAGGGAATGCAGCCCTCTTTCTAGGAGTGGCCACCATGTTTAAGCTTTTGCTCCACTTATTCAAACGTACTTTCGTGGCTCCTGATCTATCCTTTTTCTTTCAAACGTGGGAGGGAAAGACTAAAAAGCACAGTCATTTCCCTGGGACCCAGCTCGTGGGTGGGGCTGTGGATGGGAAGCTGGTGTCTCACCAAGGGGTTACCTCTCTTTTCAATCAAAAATTATGTTTCTGTTTAAAATGTAATCGAGTTCAGTGGACAATTCAATTCCATGGGATTACAGTTCTTACAAACCAGATACTTAAACATTAATTATTAGTTTACAAATCTAAACCCCTCAAGCATGATGAGCTTTAAAAAGCATATTTTAAATTGCTTTTATGGTCAATTTATCTCTAAAGCTAAATGCCTGCTCACAGCACTGTGGGTGCGGGTTCAGAGGAAAGGACAGCCTGCAGGCCATACTTTCAAGGGTGTAGAGGGTGACCTCAGCAAGTTGGACTTTAAATGACAAAAACACAGATTTTCAGAGCTGCACATCCGAACACATAGCGTCTGCCGCCGTGGGCTGTGGGGGGAAATGTGTGTGCTCATTGAACATGAGATGACACTGAACATTCAAGCGAGCTGCAAAGTCTTTGCCGGGTTTGCAGTGCCCAGGGAATCTCCACCATCCCAGGTGCTCAGGAAACCAGCCTCGCTCTTTCTTCTTCAACTGAGAAAGCCTGGACTCTACCTTCCAATGTTCCTGCTCCCTGGTTAACCCCAGAGCCTGGCAGTGCCAGGCGAATCCAGCCCACGGTGAGATTTTGCTTTTTGGTAGTGCTCTCCAGAAGGTGTCTGACAGCTGCACTTGGCTCTAATTAAGGAGGCTCACACCTAAACTGAACTACCAGAAGGTTTCTTTGGAGATCTGGACCACAGCATTCCAACCGTGGAAAGGTCAGTATTCAGGGAAGGTTCTAAGGAAAGGCTTCCTAAGACACCCCCCCCCCCACCCCCCAGCCCCTTACCTCATTGTCATGGGGCGGCAGCTGGTGCAGTAGCTGCTTGATCCGCAGCTTCTCCCCGGGACTGTTGACATAAGGAACCTTCTCTTCGGGGAGACAGCTGTAGTACTGGTGAACCTGCGGGGGGGAAAGCGCACAGGTGAGCGGTCCGCGCCACCATCGGAGGTGATTCCCACTTCAGGACACGGGCCGCTCCCCACTGTCCCACCATGCGGGGAGCACCGCGGCACACGTCTCTCACTGCCAGCAGAGAAACTCATCCTTCAGGAAAGAGGCCAGCAGGTCCCCCATCTCCGGGGGCTTTCCCTCTCCCTACGAGGGACAAACCGAAGCCCGTGAACTCTCCTGGAAGAAGAGAAATCGGCAGCCATGCGGGTGAACCCGGGGTTGGGCTTTCTGGGGCTCCGGGAGCTGCCTTTACCATTTTCCCGCTGGTCTCCAGCAAGTAACACGCCTCCGGAGCCAGCGGGATATGTCGGTGCCTGCCCTGGCAGCGCCGGAGTCAGAGCCCGTTTTTGGCACTCACACCTCTCAGCCTCCTCCTCCACGCAAAGCCCTCCGGGTCCTGAGCCCTCTGAGAGAACAGGCCGCAGCTCCCATCTGTCAGAGAGCCCCTGGATCCGGGATGCAGAGTGTGCGGTGAGAAATCGTCAGTAATAAGAGTATTTCTGGACATCCTAGAATACTCCTGCTTATGACAGTTAGGGCAGATTCCTGCACTTTCTAAGCTAGGTTAACCCTAACGATGACTTTGGGAAGCACCAAGCACCTATTTTTGTATGAGAAAAGAAAACATCCTACCACCCAGCTGCATGCAAAACTAGGGGAAGGAAAAGCTGAGCCAAACTGGAGGTATGCTCTCATATAGGAGAGACACAAACAAACAGAGACAAACAACCACGCAAGCTCAGATGACATCATGGAAAATACTTTCCAGCTATCTCTTAGCAGCCTCGTGACCAGCTCTTGAGAAACAAGGCATTCATTCATTCAGTGACAGGGAAGACAGAAGACTTGGTCCAACTCCCGAGATTAGGGAGTCCTGGATATGCACAGTTTTGGGAATGCCGGACGAAGAGTTATGACAGCTCTGTCTACTCTGATCTCCAGAAAGGAAGTCATAAGCAGAAGAAGAGAGGGGAGGAAAGGCTTTGCAATGACAAGGCCTTAAAAAAATTTGAAAGCCATCTTTATTTTCCTAACAAATAATCGTAACCATTCACCACCATGTGCATATCATCCTCTTAATCAAGTCCCAGAGGCAACCATAAACAGTCTTCTCATCTCAGACCAGCTGGCGTGGGGAGGCCGGGCCTCTGTGAGGCTCCCTCAGGCACCTGGCGGGGAGCCCCATCCTGGGACGGGGAGGACCGCTCCGGGTTCTGGGTGCCCACAGGTTACGGCACTCTCCAGAGAAGACATGAAAGGCCGGATGATGAGTTCGTTTGGAATTGGACGCTGGTGCTGAGCCCCTCAGAGAGCGGCACCATATGGCTCCTCAGGTAAGTGCCCGGCATACAAAGCAGACCCGGCTCCGTGCCTTGGAGAAGGAGAAGGGCTTTGCCTCCCAAGCCCAATCACTGCTTGTGGAAAAGCCTCACTTTGCAGTTTTCACAAAACCCATGATTGCTACGGAACCATGGGGACAGAAGTGAACGTGGAGCGAATCCCTGTGGATGCTTGCTAGTGAACTAATTTGAGCAGTATCTCCCCCCTGCCCCCCACCCCCGAATTATTCACACAGCCCCCTCTTCACTGCCCAGAACAAAGTCATCCCTGGGAATCCTTCTGATCTAGCGCCTGAGCCAGGCCCTCTCTGACACTGTCCACAGCTGGCCCAGGTTGGAGTCTTCCCTGCACCGTCTGTGTCATGGCCAGGGAGGACCGCACCCCAGCCCGGCTGGACCATGCCTGTGTCATCAGCAGTTCACACTAAGCACTCAGAAGCCTCATTGGAAGATCGGGGCGATGCAGTGAGCGTGGAGGCAGGGCATTTGCCCCCTAATAACAACACAGGACATGAATGTACAGCAATTAGTATGTTAGCTAGCTTGGCATTCTCCACGTGGAATAATCCAGAAGCTTCCTGGACTTCCTTCCATTTTAAAATGTAGGGCAACACTGTCAGCGTGTAGTTAGACCAAACCCGCCCCTCCCCACGCACCTCAGTCTAAGCAAGAAGGTTGCAAGGAATAAAATGTTACTTAAGCTAATTTGATTTCAGAGATAAAATGGAAAATTATTATAAAGGGGTGTTTCTTTCTCCAGAAACTCAGCAGTACCCTCGGGGCTCATGCGGAAACGGAACCTGCAGTCAGGAATTCTCATCTCTCTAAGCCCAGGGTCCTCTATCCGTCTCTTGCTGCATATTTGCTTCTTACCTTCTCAAAGCGTAAAGCTCCCCACAAAACTTCGGTTCCTGGACTGACTAGCTTTGCTCAAACCCATATCCCCCAGAAAAGGACCCTGACTGCCCATCTTGGGCAAGATCTACACTTGGAAAGCAGTCCCACATGCCTGACCCTGGGGGGCAAAGGAATCCCCAGCATGCAGTGATAGAGAATGCCAGGAGTTCTTGGGAGATAAATAAATATCTTAGTATGCTGTGTGCCATCCTCAAGACTTTGAATTCCTTTTTTAATTATAGTTTATATTCAATATTATTTGTTTCAGGTGTATACCATAGAGATTAGACAATCATATACTTTAAAAAGTGTTCCCCTGATATTTCCAATATCCACCTGGCTTCATACACAGTTATTACAATATTATTGACTATATTCCCTCTGCTGTAATCTACATCTCTGTGACTATTGTGTAACTACTAATTTATACTTCTTAATTCCTTCACCTTTTTCACCCATCCCCCATCCCCTTGCTCCCTGACAACCATCAGTCCATTCTTTGTATCTATGAGTCTGTTTCTCCTTTGTTTGTTCATTTATTTTATTCTTTAAATTCCACATATAAGTGAAATCATTTGGTGTTTGTCTTTCTCTGACTGGTTTATTTCACTTAGTGCAATGCCCTCTAGGTCAATCCATGTTGTCACAAATGATAAGCTTTTGTTTTTATTTATGGCCGAGTAATATTCCACTGTACATATGTATCACCATTTTTTTTTTTCCGCCTCGTATATTGATGAGTTCTTGGGTTGCTTCCATATCTTGGCTATGGTAAAGTATGCTGCAGTGAGCATAGGGGTGCATATATTTGACTGTGAATTCTTAAACCAGACATCTTGTGTTGTTTTTTTTATAATTCAAGCCAATGGATTACCACTATTGAAAAGTGTCTGTTCTATCAGTATTCCAATAATGTCTCATATATAAAATGTGCTAAAATATTTTCTCACAATAATTTGGTGGATGCTTTAAAACTGACCTAATTAGTGGGATGCCCCTTTATTAAAACAGATCAACTAGTATTAATTAACAGTCTACCAAAACACCCCTGTGTCCTGTTGTAGGTGATCTGACTTGCTCTGGGAAGGACAATGAGTTGATCGAGCCTCCTCCAAGCCTGGCCCAGTCCAGGAGAAAAAGTCACCCTCTCATGTTGGCTTCTGTGTCTCCACCTGGTATTGATCTGACTTTCCAAGCTCTTTATTGAGCATGGAGGATTAGAAGATGGATGGGAACGAGGGAGAATCCACTCTTGAATTCCCAATCCGTCTGGTCTAACACAGAAATGCTGCATGCGTTACCCTCTGCCATCCTCTGTAAAAACAGGACTATATGCCCCAAAACACACACCAGAGGAAAGACTCAGTATACTTTCTGGGGCTCCAAAAAGGAAATTGGACACCACCCCTGGAAACCCTGCAGATTGCTCATTTAGCCCCAACATGTTTCACTTGTTAATTTTTACAAATAAATGAGCAAAGCCAACAGAATTGTGTCAGTGGTGATCATTACCAAGCTATTACCTGGTATGTTGATATCTATTTTTCCTCTTGTGTGCACTGATGTATAGAGCACATTTCTCCAAGAGCAGGTCAATTGAATGTTCTAGAAACTGGTCCCTTTAAACATTCCCAGGTAGACGTGTCTCATGATTCTGGGTGAAGCTGTACTAGGTACACCCAACCCCTGCCACCACCGCCCCGCCCCACAAAAGCATTTTGAATACAATACACTGGCTTATGAAAACCAAGTAGCTGAAGGCCTTCATTTAAGGTGTTACTCCCAGCAGGAAGGTTTGGCAGTACCTTCAGTCTGTCTGGCGGATGGTCAGAACTTAGTGTGCAAACAACATCCGCAGAGCCAAGCTTCACCCCGTTCCAGACACCGGGCTTGTTGGCACCTTTGACAGCATTTCTGCCTGGGCACAGACAAAAGGGAGGCAGCCAGGGGCTCCTTGCTGGAGAGAAAAGTGTGCTAATTTTAAAAAGTGGGCACCGTGCTTTATTTAAGGCGAGGGGTCTCAAACTTTGGCTTGTACCAGAACCAACAGAAAGTTTTATTGAAACACACATTGCCATTTCAGTAAGCCTGGGGTGGGACTGATCATTTGCACTTTTAAAAAATATATTTTTATTGATTTTTTTACAGAGAGGAAAAGAGAGGGATAGAGAGTTAGAAACATCGATGAGAGAGAATCATCGATCAGCTGCATCTTGCACACCCCCCACTGGGGATGTGCCCAACCAAGGTACATGCCCTTGACCAGAATCGAACCCAGGACCCTTCAGCCCGCAGGCCAACACTCTATTCTCTGAGCCAAACAGGTTTCATCTGATCATTTGCATTTCTAACCGCCTTCAGGTAACGCCCCTGCAGTGAGTGGTCCAGGACCAGGATTTGAGGTTTAGAGTTACCCTAGGGTCTCCTCCACATCAACCCCAGGAGGCTGCCAGGCAGATGGCGGGGTTTCTGTTTGCCCCAGGAGATCCAGGAGGCCCAGAGGAGGGGAAAGCATGTGTCCAATCCCACTCAATTCTGCGCGTGTCTTCTTCTAAACCCGCACATGTATTTTAGCCAGGGATTTCAGCAGCTCTGGCAAGAATGAAAACTCCTCCGGGAAAGGGCTTATGAAACGTGGGACATTTTCTGTATCAAAAGCATCCCTGGTTTCTTGAAGATGGAACACAACCAAGAAGTCAGACTTTCTTGGTT